AAGTAGGAGCCGTCGGCGTCCAGCTGGGGTGGGGTCGTGCTGTACTTGCCCTCCGACTCAGGCTGCCCATCTCTCTGCCACTCCACGGCGATGTAGTCTGGGTAGAAGCCGGTGATCAGGCAGGTGAGGCTGACCGTGCTTTTGCTGAGCTCTTCCCGGGGTGGGGCCAGGACGTACACCTGTGGCTCCAGGGCCTGCCCTGTGGGGACAGGAAAGGCTGTTAGCACAGCGGTCACTCTGATTGGCCCACAGGACCCTCCTAGGCCCGTCCACCTGGCCCACCTTTGGTCCTGGAGATGGTTCTCACGATGGGGGCCGGGAGGCCTTCGTTGTAGACCTTGCACTTGAACTCCTTTCCCCCAGTCCAGTCCTGGTGCTGGATGGGCAGAGCGCTGACCACGCGGTAGGTGCTGTTGAACTGCTCCTCTCTCGCCTTTGTCCTGGCCGTGTGCACCTCCACGTCATTCACGAACCAGGTGAACTTGACCTCGGGGTCATCCTGGCCCACGTCCACCACCACACACGTGACCTCGGGTGTTCCAGAGATTGTGAGGGTGTCCTTGGGTTTCGGGGGGAAGATGAAGACAGACGGTCCTCCGGGGAGTTCAGGGGCTTTGGGGAAGACATAACAGGTGTCAGCCCCTGGGCAGACCTCCTCTTGGGCCTACACAGCCTCACCTGTGGCTCTCCAGGACATTGTCTACCTCCGGGGTGTGAAGGTGAGACTGGGTGACTTACCTGGGCATGGGCAAGGTGGGCAGGTTTTCTTACATCTGGGCACTGCAGAGAGAGCAGACTGGGGGTTACCAGGGGCAGGAAGCCAGGGGCTGGGCTTAGGGCAGGGACAGGTTTTGGCAGATCTGAGCCCAGGGCCCGCCTCTGTGGGTCCAGGCGGGTGGACGTTGTCCAGCCTGTGGCCACCCTGGATGCGGTGGAAACTCCAGACGACCCCCTCCCCAAGCCTGAGAGACCTTCAGGAGAGGAAGACAGACAGGCCTCCCCTGACACTCTGGGCCTGGTTTACATCATCCCTGGGGTGGGGGCCTTGCAGGCAGGGGGGCTGACCCTGGTCTCCTGGAGTGGAACCCTCCCCGGGGCCTGTCTTCTCACCGACATGCTTGTCCACCTTGGTGCTGCTGGCCGGGTGGGCTACGTTGCAGGTGAAGGTCTGGGATTCTGAGGTGCTGGCGGGCACGGTCACGATGCTGCTGAGAGAGTAGAGCCCGGAGGACTGCAGGACAGCCGGGAAGGTGTGTACACCGCTGGTCAGGGCACCTGAGTTCCAGGTCACGGTCACCGGCTCGGGCATGTAACTGGAGACCAGGCAGCCTAGGGTCACGGTGGAGCTGGACGTGTCCCCGCAGCAAGAACCCAGAGGGTAGACTTTCGGGGCTGTGGTGGAGGCTGTGAGAGAGGAGGCTGGGTGAATGCTGGGTCCGGCAGGACCTCAGGTGCCCAGGCCTGGGGCACGGCTGAGACCAGCCACCGTGTGCTTCCAGAGTCTGATGACCGGCCGGCGTGGTCTGGCCGCCCTGCTCTGTGCGCGGCAGCTGGGGTGTCTGGACACAGCTGGGCTCGGTGAGTGTGGGCTCCTGGATCAGAGCCCCGAGGCCGCTCCCCTCCGGTGGGTGCCTGGCCTGACCCGTGCCCCCTGCTCCCCCAGCCTGGTCAGCTTCCTGGGCCTGCAGCCCATCTGACCACCGAGCAGGCGCCCCATGTCCCCTTGGCCACTCGCACCACCCTTTCAAGCACACTGTGCCAGGCCCGGCCCCGCTTTGGCTCCTGATCCACACAGGCTGCAGGGACAGGCGGACCGTCGGCCCAGGAAGTACAGCCCACTCGGTGCCCTCAGGGCGCCCCTTCCCTGCAGCCCCAGAGCCCTTCCTCTTGGGTCTTTGCTGCTCCTTGCACCGTTCTCCATGCAGACCCTCCACCAAACAGCATTCCCGTTAGCTTGAGGGGCGGCCCACACCCCTGGTCTCAGCCCTCTGCCTCACCGGCTGTGGCCTGAGCTCTCCTGGCCCTGTGCCCCTGCTCCCTGATCCCCGCCGCTCTCCCTCGTCCAGCACCCACAGCCCTGCTCTCAGGCCTCTGGACTCAGCTCCGGGCGGCTGTGCTCTCGGACCCATCTTCTCTGCAGGGCTCACACTGCCCAGTGTCCTTGCGTCTGGCGCCACAGCACAAACGGCCCCTTGCACCCTAGGATCCTTTCCTACTGAAGTGCTCAGCACACACATGGTCCGTTGAGTTCGTAGGCAGGGACCTGACATCCCAGCCCCTGCTCAGCTGCACAGTCTTTGCTCCCCTAAAACCCTGGGAGAGCTCCCTGAATTCCCAGCCCCCTGCTTATTCCCAGAAGCTGTAACCGCTCTCCCAAATCTCTAAGGGCACCCCCTGTCCTCCCAGTGCCCTGCTCATCCCTAGAAGCTCTACCTGCTCCCCTAAAGTTCTTGAGTAACTCTGCCCTCCGAGCCCCCTGCTCAATCTCACAAGCTGTATCTGATCCCCCAAATCTCCAGGGGTTCCCCCTGTCCTCCCAGCCCCTTGCTCACCCCCAAAAGCTGTACCAGTTCCCCCAAAGCACCGGGGCTCCCCTGTCCTCCCAGCTCCCTGCTCACCCCCAAAAGCTGTACCTGCTCTCCCAAAGTACCAGGGGCCCCCTGTCCTCCCAGGCCCTGGTGACCCTCAACAGCTGTACTTACTCCCCCAAAGACCAGAGCATCCCCTGTCCTCCCAGCCTCCTGCTCACCCTCGAAAGCTGTACCTGCTCCCCCAAAGCATCAGGGGCACCCCCTGCCCTCTCAGTACCTGCTCATTCTCACAAGCTATACCTGCTCCCCCAAAGCACCAGGGGCACCTCCTGCCCTCCCAGCCCCTGCTCACCCTCACAAGCTGTACCTGCTCCCCCAAAGCACCAGGAGTCCCCCTGTCCTCCCAGCCTCCTGCTCACCTTTGCAAGCTGTACCTGCTCCCCCAAAGGACCAGGGACACCCCCTGCCCTTCCAGCCCCCTGCTCACCCTCACAAACTGTACCTGCTCCCCCAAAGCACCAGGGGTCCCCCTGTCCTCCCAGCCTCCTGCTCACCTTTGCAAGCTGTACCTGCTCCCCCAAAGGACCAGGGACACCCCCTGCCCTTCCAGCCCCCTGCTCACCCTCACAAACTGTACCTGCTCCCCCAAAGCACCAGGGGTCCCCCTGTCCTCCCAGCCTCCTTCTCGCCTTCGCAAGCTGTATTGGCTCCCCCAAAGCACCAGGGACACCCCCTGCCCTCCCAGTCTCCTGCTCACCCCCAAAAGCTGTACCTGATCCCGCAAAGCACCCGGGGCTCCCCCAGCCCTCCCAGCCTCCTGCTCACCCTCATGAGCTGTGCCTGCTCCCCCAGAGCACCAGGGCTCCCCCTACCCCCCCAGCCCCCTGCTCACCCTCATAACCTGTACCTGCTCCTCAAAGCACTAGGGGCTGCCCCCTGAAATCCCAGCCCCTTCTCACCCTCACAAGATGTACCCACTCTTTGAAAGCACCAGTGGCTCCCCCTGCCCTCCCAGCTCCCTGCTCGCCTACAAAATCTGTACCTGCTCCCCCAAAGCACCAGGGGCTCCCCCTGCTCACCCCCCAAAGCTGTACCTGCTCCCCCAAAGCACCCAGGGGCTCCCCCTGACCTCCCAGCCCCCTGCTCACCCCCCAAAGCTGTACCTGCTCCCCCAAAGCACCAGGGGCTCCCCCTGCCCTCCCAGCCTCCTGCTCACCCTCACAAGCTGTACCTGCTCCCCCAAAGCACCAGGGGCTCCCCCTGACCTCCCAGCCCCCTGCTCACCCCCCAAAGCTGTACCTGCTCCCCCAAAGCACCCAGGGCTTCCCCTGCCCTCCCAGCCTCCTGCTCACCCTCACAAGCTGTACCTGCTCCCCCAAAGCACCAGGGGCCTCCCTGCCCTCCCAGCCCCCTGCTCACCCTCACAAGCTGTACCTGCTCCCCCAAAGCACCAGGGGCTCCCCCTGACCTCCCAGCCCCCTGCTCATCCCCAAAATCTGTACCTGCTCCCCCAAAGCACCCAGGGCTTCCCCTGACCTCCCAGCCTCCTGCTCACCCTCACAAGCTGTACCTGCTCCCCCAAAGCATCAGGGGCTGGCTCCCCTTGCCCTCCCAGCCCCCTGCTCACCCTCACAAGCTGTACCTGCTCCTCCAAAGCACCAGAGGCTCCTCTTGCCCTCCCAGCCTCTTGCTCATCCTCACAAGCTGTACCTGCTCCCTGAAAATACCAGGGGCTCCCCCTATGCTCCAAGTCCCCTGCTCACCCTCATAAATTGTACCTGCTCCCCCAAAGCACTGGGGACACCCTCTGCCCTCCCAGCCTCCTGCTCACCCTCACGAGCTGTACCTGCTCCCCCACAGCACCCGGGGCTCCCCCTGCTGTCCCAGCCCCCTGCTCACTCTCATAACCTGTACCTGCTCCCCCACAGCACCCAGGGCTTCCCCTGACCTCCCAGCCTCCTGCTCACCCCCAAAAGCTGTACCTGCTCCCCCAAAGCACCCAGGGCTTCCCCTGACCTCCCAGCCTCCTGCTCACCCTCACAAGCTGTACCTGCTCCCCCAAAGCATCAGGGGCTGGCTCCCCTTGCCCTCCCAGCCCCCTGCTCACCCTCACAAGCTGTACCTCCTCCCCCAAAGCACCCAGGGCTTCCCCTGACCTCCCAGCCTCCTGCTCACCCCCAAAAGCTGTACCTGCTCCCCCAAAGCACCCAGGGCTCCCCCTGACCTCCCAGCCCCCTGCTCACCCTCACAAGCTGTACCTGCTCCCCCAAAGCACCCAGGGCTTCCCCTGCCCTCCCAGCCTCCTGCTCACCCCCAAAAGCTGTACCTGCTCCCCCAAAGCACCCAGGGCTTCCCCTGACCTCCCAGCCCCCTGCTCACCCTCACAAGCTGTACCTGCTCCCCCAAAGCACCCAGGGCTTCCCCTGACCTCCCAGCCTCCTGCTCACCCCCAAAAGCTGTACCTGCTCCTCCAAAGCACCCAGGGCTTCCCCTAACCTCCCAGCCCCCTGCTCACCCTCACAAGCTGTACCTGCTCCTCCAAAGCACCAGAGGCTCCTCTTGCCCTCCCAGCCCCCGGCTCATCTACAAAATCTGTACCTGCTCCCCCAAAGCACCAGGGGCACCCCCTTTCCACCCAGCCTCCTGCTCATCCTCACAAGCTGTACCTGCTCCCTGAAAATACCAGGGGCTCCCCCTATGCTCCAAGTCCCCTGATCACCCTCATAAATTGTACCTGCTCCCCCAAAGCACCCAGGGCTTCCCCTGACCTCTCAGCCTCCTGCTCACCCTCACAAGCTGTACCTGCTCCCCCAAAGCACCAGGAGCTCCCCCTGACCTCCTAGCCCCCTGCTCATCTACAAAATCTGTATCTGCTCCCCCAAAGCACCAGGGGCACCCCCTTTCCACCCAGCCTCCTGCTCATCCTCACAAGCTGTACCTGCTCCCTGAAAACACCAGGGGCTCCTCCTGTGCTCCAGGCCCCCTGCTCACCCTCATACGCTGTACCTGCTCCCCCAAAGCACCAGGGCATCCCCTTGCCCTCCTGGCCACTGCTCACCTGTGGCCTCGCTGAAGCCTGTCCCTGGGCTGCCATCTCAGCCTCCCCTGCACCTCTGTTCCCCCTGTGAGCCCTCACTCCTGCCCAGCTCCAGTCCTCACTCCTTTATTTCCTGGGCTCAGCTCTCCTCCCTGGACTTGCCAGGGGCCCTGCGGCCTCCGGGAAGCTCTCCCCTGGAGGCGCTCTGTCCACCTGGGCCCCTCCCCGTGGAGGTCCTGCCCTTGCTCTCCACTCTTCTCTGTCCCTCCACCCGCGCCCTCCTCTGGCCCCTTGCTGCCTCCAGTTTTCGGGTCACCTGCCCTCTGCCCAGCTTCCGCTCCTGGTCCTCGGGCTCCATGCTCTGGTCAGCCCGCTGCATCCTGGGGGCTGTGGGCTCAGCCCTGTGCTGCCCGCCGTGGACACAGAGCACGGCCAGCCCGCAGCCCTGTGCCTGGCTCTGCCACTGCGCTCGGCCCCAGCCCAGTCGGGACCAACAGCCACCGCACGTGGCCCTGCCCTGGGACCCATGCCCGCTCCACTGGCCTGTCCAGGAGCCTTCACTGCCCTGGGGTCCTCTCCCTTCCCTGCGTCCTCACATCAGTCCCTCCTTCCATCCCAGCTGGTTGTCCCGCCCACCCAGCCCCGGCCTCCATATCACCTGGTCACGCACAGCCCTCCCCACCTGTCCCCAGCCCCTCCTGCTCCTCAACAGCCCAGCAGCCCCCCAACCTCCCCAGCCCCAGGCAGCAGCGCTCTTGGTGTGGTGCGCCCTGCCCGGGTTCCGTCCCCGGGTTCCGTCCCGCGCTCGTCCCACACTGTGACCAGGGGCAGCTGCC